ACCATTCGATTATATCATAAGCTAACTTTGCTATCGACTCTAGGATTGCAAACGCCTTTTTTCGCTTGCCTAGCCTTAACATGTTGAGAATTACAAGCGTCAAGCAATGTTAGAAGTAAAGCATGCAAACTAGCAAACTATTTTCTCTGTGTGTTTTACCCAACAAATAATATATTATACTAATAATATATTATAGTAAAGTTTTTTGCTCAAATGCAACTTTCTTATCCAGTTCCCGCCCGTGAAAAATTTAATTCTGCTCGTACTGTCTTGAACTCCACGTCCATTTAAATTTGATCGAATATAGAAGCTAAAGTGAGAATCAACGATTTCCACTATTGTCTTGTGGTGAGAAGCTTACTTATCGGCTTGATAAGTAAACGTTCTTTCATTAAACCAAGAGCAGTGAATTTTGTGAGAAGCAAAGATCTTTGAAAATTAATTTGCAGCCGTAAAAAACAACAAAGTTGCCCGTTTTCCGCCAAATTTTCACAGTTGCCAGTGGAACTTCCCGTGCACTTCAATTTCAGATTCTTAGCTCTTATGGTTTGGTCTGTGAATTGAATAGCAATCAGTCAGTCAGTCAGTTATTTAGCCAGTCAGTCATTCAGTCAGTCATGACGAAACAGTTTTATATATAGAGATTGTAACAATATTAGTCCAAATATTCAAAGCTTGTTTCAGATTTATTGTTTAATCTTAGAAAATTTAAGACTTAACAAAAATCCATATTGTTTTACTTTAAGTCTTCTTTAAAAATACGTCAATAGATAATTGCATTTTGTTAATCCCTAATCCCACTTATCGGAAACTGTTTTTTTTTTCCATTGCATTGCACACTCAACAATTTGTAAACAGTCAAACTCTTGCGTGAATATTTAGCAAATTGATTTTTGTTAAATTTTTATTGAAACCTTTTAGTTTGGCTCATCGCTAACTATTTAAATAGTTGAACTTTAGCTTGTCAGAAAGTTCGCTTTTTGGCTGTGAAAGGAGCAGAAACTGCCACCAAATTCCATGTTATAAATGCGAGCAACTAAATTTTGGGCAAAGCCAAAGCGAGCAACAGCACAGCCCGGCACGTAGCAGGAGCTCCATTCCAGCTGCCATTCCCGCTGAAAATACAGCTCCATTTCCCGTTTTAGTTGCTCAGCTCGACCATCATTTGGGGAATTGTGGAGCTGACAAATACGTGGAGTCATCGCTGCCTTTTGCCTTCCGCTGCTTAGTCCTCATATTGATGGGCAACATCAAGATGGAGAGGACTTCAAGCACAGGCAACGAATTCAAAGCTAGATTTGCGCCTCTTGGCACGAACTGCATTTGATTTGGTTGCATTTATAAATGAGACAAGAGAAAAAATAAAAATTGAGACAATTTAGCGCTGAAACAACTGGAAGTTGAACGTTAATTTAGCTGATTTTCATGCTAGATTTGCCACAATCAAAATAAACATATAATCGACTGCACACAATCGAAGAAAGCTCCATAAACAGTTGGACTTTATTGTGATTTTATTGAACGTCTGTGTTACGCAATTGCAATCATGGGCCACGTATCGGGCGCCAGACTGGCCAACAACTTGACAGTAAGCAATAGGATAAACTCGTTTAGATCCAAGCTCTGTTGCCATTTTAGTTTTTATGACCCGCTCACTTTCTTACTTCAGAGTATACACAGAGCAATCCCATTTCAATCAAACTTTCAGCACGTACACAACACAGAGAGTGGCCCAACCTCATTCAGATCAATTCCTCGAACTTAAGCCATACTAATGCGTAATATTTTACCAATTGAATTAAACATAAAAGGTTTCGCTGCTTTTAAATAAACCCAATTTTCAGCTCGTCGTTGCCTTGGCCTGAAGTCTGTGAAGAACTGTATAATATTTGACACTGCAAAAGTTTCATAACTTCATGCAAAATAATTATGATAGATAAGCTTTAAGTTAAATCTTTTTTAGCTATAGACAAATCATATTTAATCATTTGTCAGAGTCAGTTGAAAACCATTAACATAACTTAATAAAATATCTTACGAATATTTACAAATATTCATTCGGGAGTATTTAATATTGAATATAATTTCAAGTTATGCACTTAAATAATATTTACAATAATTGAATTGATTTCTATCGAGCTTATTAAACTCGCAATAACTGCTAAAATATGCATTAGTTTTAAATTGTAATTAAGTTCGATTTCTCGTAAACATTGCTATATGAAAATGATTTTCAATTGAATTTATGAAATTTTGTTTTAATTGTTTACCGCAAATGCATTTGCATTGGAAATACGGACTGGTCTATGGCAAAATGGTTATATTTATTATTCAGCTCCTTGTTGAATTAAACCGCACAAAAACTTTACACGCAATCCCACAAAGCAATTGAAAATTCGATGACCATTCACCAAACAATTGCGAGCGAGCAGAACAAATAGGAACAAAAAACAATTGCATTACAATTTAAAAACTTTTCGCATATCGTACAAAAAAGACAGAAATCAGAGACGAACACACTCTGAATCGTTGTTGCACACGCTTTTTGTTAGCTTTTGTAAAACAACAAAAAAGCAAAAAAGAAAGGAAAAAAGTAAAAGTGCCAAATGGCTGACAGATAGAGATCTGTGGAGCGGGAACTAGGGAAAACTAACAGAGAGAAAAGCAAATCAATCAAATCAAATCAATCAATTCAAAACATGTACAAAAGACAAACAAACAAATGCAAACATACACACACAGTTTGAGGCAGTTTAGCTTGGCTAAAAGTTCAATTGCCAATAGAGAAACAAAAAAAAAAAAGGAGAAGAATAAAATTCAAAGCCGGAGAAATATAATTGTGCATGTTGACCCATACGTATCGAGTGTCTCATATTAAGTTGTAGAACTGGCCGCTTGGCTTTTAGCAAATTGCTGCCAATCCTTACACACTCACACACACACACATCTTTGCACAACCCTTAATTAGTTTCTGGCAAATTGATTATGTTGCCAGCAGTCAAAATAAACAATGGATTGCCTGAAATGCATATGTTAACAGCGGCCTCTTGTTTTTTTTTTTATTAATTGACTGAGACGTGAGCTAGTCACAAGCAGCCATTAAATTAGCAGCGGCAAATTACAAATTACGCATACGCCACATTAGCCCGGACGTCACAGCTCATTTTTGCATCGAGCTGCTTGCCGCAAGTGCTGGCAGCTACCACAGAATTTAACAGCATTACATAAAACACATCGACCCGACAACAATAATTCTTACTTCATAGTTGGTTGAGCAGAAGAAAAAAAATCTCACCATGTCGCTGGCAGGATATGCAATTACGTATGCATACACCACACACACATGCACACACACAGACACACACACACACGGGGGAACAGGGACCCTCTGTGATGTGGCATAGAAAATTTGCTTATGACGGCAGCCGACAACAACAGCAGAATAAATTGATAAGAACTGCGTAAGTGATACAGTGGGCCACGCAGCTGAACTACGTGCGAAATAAAAAAGAAGAAGGTAGAGTATTTAGGAAAATGTGTAAAACATTATGGCAAAAGAGAAAATGAGGAAGATTAATTAAGAGGAAGAGGAAATTAGTAAAGTGCATTAAATAATCTTGAAAGTATAATAAAATAGAATCGAAGAGAATCGAATAGAATAGAAAAGTAAAGTATCAAAAGTAAAATAATAAGCAATCAATTTATTTGCATATAACCATAATACCTTAAACTTGTATTTAAAAATTGCTAATAAATAACTAATCTTGAAAGTTGTAGTTAAAAGTTTGAAAAATTATTTTATAATTTTTATACTAAAGCAAAAAAAGACTTACACAAGAGTAGGCTTTCCTTTGGCCAGCTGTGTCGCCCTTTCGTTGCTTATAATTCTCAAGTGGTTATAGCTACGGTCTGAGGATGAGGCCTTGCAAAATAGAATCGAAAGCAATTTGTGGGATTTTTTTGTTTAATACATTTTCTTTGCTTTATTTCAATTTTACTGTTATTATTTGATTAATTTAGTTTTTTTGTGTGTTAAAATTCATTTATTTACAGCTAATCTGCTGTTACTCTTTTTTTTTTTTTTCTTTTTTTGTCATGCTTGTCTAAACTTCATTAAGGGCACTGTTTTTATGTTTCTACACTTAATTCGAGTAGTTTTAATCCCTGGTTGAAAATTTTAAATCATCAAATACATTGTCCAATCTGACCGTTTCGACAAGTCCAGACAACTTGATCTCTGCATCATCCGCACTAAGATCTTCCACTCCTCGTAACCAAGACATAATTCCTGTGGACTCCTCAAAACTCTTATAGGTCAATGATTTATTGTATTTCGAACATAATGTATTTGTCTTTGCAATGTCTATCGGCAATAAACCCAGAGGGAACACTCTCCTGAATGTTCGTATGATAGACCCTATAGCGGCTAGCTTAGAGTTCAACTGGATGTTCTTTCTATATCCAGCCTCTTTTGTTAGAGACCATCTACCAAAAAAGTTCTTCCCCATTTGGATGTGATAAAAACAGAAAGGGAAATATCTGTATCAGTTTTTGACCTTTGTCGGATATCTCAAAATTCCCATAACAATATCCCATCCAGATCATGAAGCCTGAGGTCCAGACTCCTAAATTGGTCACTTTGGTGTCCGAGGGAGGGGAGGATGTTCTGAGTATCCTGTAGTGATGTCCACAATGTAATGTGAAACTAGCACGTACAATCCTAAATGTCCTGTTCTGACACCAACTCCATCTGTGAACTCAGTTGATAATTTATAGGCAATATCTGGCCTCACCCCGAGTGTTTGTAATGTGGTCATCAACTCTGTCACAGGTTCAGGTCGCAGGATGCTTGGCACTCCTTCAAGAAGATTATATTGTTTTAATGATTGTGCCCTGTGAAACTCTGCCAACGGTGAATTTAGACAAGGAAAATGTTTGAGATCTTGATACAGTTCCTCCATGTCAGGATATCCATCATGAATCCTCCCAACTCCTTTTCGTGATAACATTTTCTTCCGATGTTTGGGATGAAGATATTTGTGTGGTAACCACCCCACGCTTGCATAATATTTCCCTGGCTCCGTCAACAAATTCTTTTTGGTTGAAAAAAGTCTGGTAAGATACGTTTTAAAAATGATCACATGATCTTGGTTGGCCAATTCTGGAGTTTATTTAAATAAATTTTTCTCAATGCTTTGGATAGAATTCAAATCTGTGACTTCCATAACAAAAACACATAAGTTTACTGATAGTCCCTTAGACTTGGATAAGGTTTTGAAGTATCTCCATGTTGATGTTTCTCTCAAATTATTGGGATGGGCCCAACTATCCATTAGGTTTACACATCTGGGAGTTGACCCCAATGTTTGTAAGATAGCAGAGGTAGTTGGTTGATTTGAGGTCTCTGGACAATACCTCCCAATTCCCCGGATTGATTGTAACAGTCGGAGTTGTTGATGACCAAGAAGATTGCTCAGGTTTCCAGGATGACAAGATATCCGACACATCAGGATGGCGATAAATGGATGGTGAATCCAAAGTGATTTCTGCAATTGGCCTCAAGCAGTCAGTGCATGATATGTGATGATGATAATATCCTTGACCTCCAGTTGTAGGGTGTACTTCCCCAGCGAACATCAGTGAATTCAGCAGACAATTCTGAAACATGAAGTCATAATTGACATCTCCTAAGAATGCTAATTTGTTTGTAGTTGCGATCATTCGTGTCAATTTAGATGGATTCTGTGCTGCATATCCTCCGCTGCTTTGTCGGGAGCAGTTGAATCTATGAAGTGCGGATCCTGTTCGCTTGAATCTATGAATGGTGCTAGCCCAATCCTCTCCGGTGAGGGACATTAGATTTTCAATTATGGATTGGGCTAAATTGCTGGTAGGTTCGATAAACCATCCTATAGAATTCCTAAGGTTTGCTGCCCTTTTGATCATTGGAATCTTGGTTTCTCTTTCCCAAGATTGTAAAATACTTGTGGATTCCAGAGTGGAAGATCCAAGATAAGCAGGGCAGGTCCCTTTTTTGATTTTTAGATCTTGAAATCCAACTGGAATCAGAATTGCGATATAAATAGATTTATACCCTGGATCATTACATTCGGAGCATGCCCCTCTAGTCATTTTAGGGGTTCCAAACAGCTCTGCTGGGTGAGGAACAGTAGCTCCATACACATGAGCTGCCCAAGATTGTCTTCGCAATGCATCAGCATGGGTGGAGGAGCATTTCCACATCTCTTGATTGTGTCCATTTATTTTGTTGAATTGAAGCAAGTTCTTGATGCTTGAAAACTTATGTGAATATTTACAATACTACTTATTCTACTGTTAAGTCTAACATACAAATGTACAAGAGTAGGGAGATTATATAAACCGATCTGAGAGATCGATTAGATGAAAAGCAATGTCTGATGATGATAAAACTGGGAAGTAATTGAAACAGCAATGCAGACAACCTGCTCATTAACACCTTGTTCATGATAAACATTGATTTCGAGTTGGCTAGATTAAAATCAATTATTTTTTTATAATTTTTTGGAAAACGCTTAATATCTTTATTTTTAGTTATAATTTTTACGAGTGACAATCAGAACTCAAATCGGTTCTATAATGTATTAAACAGTATTAAGAATGAGAGAAAGTAAATAAAAACTTATTTAAAGTCGCATTTAATTACGGCCTTAGGTGACCTACTGGACGCCTTCTGCGCCGTGAACTCTCTCGCCTTTTGAGCCGAATAGGTGTAGCTGCAGCTGTAGCCAGGGATCTGGCCAAGCGATTGCTGTGAACCAACAGTCGATCGTTGTATCGGCTAGAGTGGAAGGCGATCAGGTCCTCGACAACCGCCAGATTCAAGACTCAATGCAGAGTTGAGTTTCTGACATACCAGGGACAATCCGTGATTAGGTGTAATATCTGAAATGTTTTCTGAGCAATAGAAAAAAAACAAACAAAATTTGATAACAAATAAATAGAATAACTAACTAGATTAGCTAAGCAAATCATTAAGGAGAACAATTTTATTTCTAATGTAGTTGATCAGTTGGTAACAGATTGTTGGCTGTTTTTTGTTAAAGCAGCTTTATAACCTTATTAACTTTTATAGCTAACCGCCCCTGACAAACATTAGATAAGTCAATTGTATATTTTTATTGATTAAGTTCTTAAAATTCAAGGAACATCAACTGTGAAGTACGATACTCCATAGTAAACTGTTTACACATATGGCAATATATAATTTTTTTGAAAGTTTCTGGCCACAGATTCCGTATTGGATGCCTGCCAAGCGCATTGCTCGATTTTAAAGCCAAACATTCTTGGCAAATGCGTTTCTCGGGAGTCTGCAACAATGCTCGATATGCTCAGATCAATGTAAAATGCATATTACAAACGCAAAAATGTGCATTCGAGTGCAGTTTTTGACCGACAGAAGAGGGCGTATCTGTGTGTGTGCAAGTGTGCGTGTGTGTGTGTGTGTATTTCTGTTAGCCAGTAGTTAACATGCCTGGCTTGCCTTCCTTGCCAATGATTTCCATGTTTATCCATTGCTCGTAGTCGTCGTCAATGTGACAGGTATGCACACCCCTAGTCTACCGCCTAACTGTCCCTTCATGTGTCTCACACTCTCTCTCTCTCTTTCACTCACTATCTCCCTCTCACCTACTCCATATCAGTCTTCCTCTCGTCTCTAACTGGCTGACGGACTGTCTGTCATGGCTGCGATTGTGCACAGAGTGCATCAATTTTTGAATAGCTTGGCCCGCATTAAAGGCCAACGCTTCTGCAGGACTGCAAATGCAAATTGCTGACACATTGAACATGGGAGAAGAATTGATTGACGTCAGCCAAAGGGGCAAATTTGCCGGCGATTAGTTGGTATTTTGGACTTAAATTGCTTGCCTTCGAGCTATTTCGCCAATTGTATAAATTGGCACAGTTTTTTTTTAAAGGAAAAAGGGCGAAATGAGAACAAATAAATATTTATTAATAGAGTATCAAATTGTATGGATGGAGACAGATATTTATATTAATATTTAAGGAGGTTCCAGCCCAGATCAAAAGACAGATAGAAAGGTTAAGTCTTAGAAAAAGTTGAGAGAAAACAGCAAATTTTCAGTGAGTGAGAGTGGAAGCAAGTGAGAGCAAGCGAAAGAAAGAAATGTGTAAAGAGAATGTGAGAGAATCGAAAAATTGAACTCCAGATCCATTCAACTCGGATTTGCCCCGCAATTTACATATGAAAAACCTTTTGGCAATTGCTACTCTGCTGACACATCAATCGGATGCATTGTGTCAGTGGGAAAAGTTGCAGTCAGGAAAATTTTACACATGGCTATGTAAGGCACGCCCCAAGACACACACACACACACACAGAGAGAGACCCGGCCTGAAGCCCGAGACGAGCATTGGCAAACACAAGCCTGTATGTGAAACACAAACACACACGCAGCAGGGTAAACAAATTTGCAAGTGTGCGAGTGTGAGTGTGTGTGTGTGTGTGTGTGTGGGAGTGTTGGTGCTGGTGTTGATCTATTGCTGTGCTTTATAATGCATTAAGCTCACACCAAGGCACACAAAAGTGCAAACTGCAAACTACAAACAGCAAACTGCGAACTGTGCAAAGAGATAAAAAGCAAAGCCAAGCCAAGATTTCACTTGCCTTCACAATTCCTAACTTAACTTCAAATTTGTTCTTTATATTTAGAAAAAAAAAGCATATATGTTCAATCGTAAATTATAGCCAAAAAAAATCGTGCAATAAAAGCCTAAAAATTGCATGCAAATAAACGTGTCCGAAAGCCGCCGCGAAATGGAAACTCATCGATTTGGCAATGTGGAGCCTTGAATGAAAATCCGAATGGTTCGAACTGTGCCTCGCCAGAGAATAGCGAACTGCGTACTGAAAACTGCGGGTATGTGTGCTTGTGTGTGTGTAAGGTTCAAGTATTGCGCATTTCATTTCGCTGGACTGGACTTTATTGAAACAGGTCGACGTTCATCTAGACGTGGAATAGGCATAGGCCATAATGGAAATACTGCGATAGCCCGGAATGGCGGCTGCGTTACACCAAAGTGGATATGGGCAAAACCACGAAAGGAGACTTGAAGTGGACTGAAATTGAAATACAACTGGCTCAGTATCACAAATGCTGCCAGCTGTCACCTATGGTCCGATTGGGTTGCGGGCGTGGAATTGTAAAGTTAATCCATTGAATTTGAATGAGACGTAACTGAATGGGAACACAGTAGAGCACTCGGGAGTAGAGTCTCAGCAGGTTTCTAATAAATAGATCAAAGTGCACGACTTTTAAAAATACTATTTCAAAGTTCAATTCTTAATTGAGAGGGTTGAGAGGTTTTTAAAGTAACACTTTGCTGCTGGTTCAATTCCCTTTTGCACATTCTCGAAATCAGGTTTTAGTTCTAAATTTGTCAAATATATAAATATATTAAATTCAACTTTAATTTATATTTGCCGTTCTACTGAAAATATTTCAAGTCGTGCATTTTTTCATATAGAATTTTCGGACTATATTTGATTAAGGCAAGGGTTGGGACCTAAGCTATTTACGCTTTGATCTCATCCAAAATTGTTATTTTGAACTAAATCATATTTAAACAGAAATGCAATTTGGCTCGGTTTTCAGTTTGGATATATTTTGGGTAACTGGTTCATATTAACTGGTTCATATTGACTGGTTCATATTAACTGGTTCACATCAAGTAGTTCATATCAACTCGGTCATACCAACTGGTCCATTTAAACTGGTTCATATCAACTGGTTCATTTAAACTGGTTCATATTAACTGGTTCATATTAACTGGTTCATTTCAACTAGTTCATATCAACTCGGTCATATCAACTGGTTCATTGAAACTAGTTCATATCAACTAGTTCATTTAAACTGGTTCATATTAATATTGATTACGAGCTCGAGCTAGTTCATTTCAAATCCGGCTTACAGCAAAGTATTTCCTTAACAATATTTGCCATAGCTTGAATTAAATTTAGATTAATATTAATTAATATTAATAACTGAAATACTTTTTGGTTCATCTCGTTTCAATGCTCAAAACTTTCTCAATAAAGCGTGCTGTAGTTTAATTTCCCCTTAAACGAGTGAGTTCTCAAACACTTAACTAGTTGCCTTTACTCTAAGCTTAGTGCTGTTCAGAGGTTAGTTAAATAAATTTGATCGTTAGAGTTAATTCATCTCACCCTATTTAGCCTAACCTGCACGAATCACGCATATTCAACTGCGTCTAAGAATCCCTTTCACCTGGTCGAACTACTCCTCGTGCCATTTAATTTTAGCCACAAGCCTAGGACTATTAAATATGTAAGGGCTTCTGTGTATCTTTGGGATAGAGGCGCAAACGAGCCTTTATTAATGGCGCACTTTGGGCTGCTAAAAATAAAACACGGTAAAAGTTGTTTTGCCACTTATTGTTTGTATATGGGTTGTAAATAAAACAAGAGGCTAAATTCGACAAGTGTCTTAACAAATTCCGTTAATTGGCATTTGGCTTCTTTTCCCATTGGCTTGTTTTCCTTCTCATTATTGCTTGTCAGGTAACCTTTTGATTGATTCCCTTGTTGCTTTCTTTTATGCTGTTTTATTATTTATCCTTTCCATTCATTCCTCTCCATCTCTCTCTCTCATTTTTGTGGCTAATATGCCGGAGAATTTTCGCTTTTTAATTTGCTTAAAAACAGTTTATTAAAATAAGTTTGGTGCCCCTTTTCCGTGGAAAAGCCTGCGAAAGAAGGTTTATCTAATCGGAGTTGAACTGTATTCCTGAAGCAATAATTTTTTTTTATTTTTTTTTACATTTTTTCTTATTATTTTTCCCATTTACAGACATAATTTTGTACCCTGAACCGATTAAAAAGGAGTAAAAAGGTTTAATGTATTTGTGCAAATGTATGTAACAGGCAGAAGGAAGCATCTCCGACCACATAAAGTATATATATTCTTGATAAGCATTAATAGCCGAGTCGAGCCATGTCTGTCGGTCTGTCTGTCTGTCGGTCCGTCTGCCCGTATGTATAAGAGCTAGAGACTTAACTTATGTCCTCCTAGTTCCCGCGAAGTACGAAATTTAAAAGTGAACTTAAAATTTGACAATTAATTCGATTAATTAATAATTAGGCGCTGCTTTTCGAGTAGACTTTCAGCTAAATATAAAACTATATTAAAGCTGTCACAAATTTTATTACAAACACAAATTAGAGAGCTAGAAATTATAATAGAAGACGAACAAACAGGCTAACCACGTTCTTAATAGAGGAAAAACTTGGCAAGTTTTGCTAATGACAGCTCAGCCAAAAAACCACGCCTCACATCTGTGTGATTGCGTGTTTATCTGTGTGTGTGTGTGTGTGTGTGTGTGTGTGTGTGAATATTATCATGCCATATCACACACACTCAAGGTCATGCCATGAAAACTTTTGCACAGATATGAATGTATGCAAATCCAAACTGAAAAGAAAAGTGCAAAGCATTTGCGAATAGAAAACTCAAGGCAACTTAGCTAAAGCTTTTCATAGCACAGCCACACACACGCACACACACACACACACACACATCATAGAAAACCAAGTGTGTGTGTGTGTGGGCGCGTTGTAATCATAAACGCTTTCTAATCAGCTTATTGCTAAGCGTCCAGTCCGCAGCAGAGTTAAGTGTCGAGCTCTGCATTTATTCAATTATTGTGGCTAATCAGCTTAGTGATAGCAGACGGTCTCTCTTGATTTTGCACACTCTGTGCTCTGGTCACACTGCGCAGCTCAGAAAAAGCGATTGCAAAACTTTGTGACTAATTCTTGTTGCCAAAAACTCAAGTGAAAAAAATCACCAAGCGCAACTCACTTAAAGCTTAGCCCCGCAGACAGAAATCAAGGTGAGCTTCAGGTTCATGTGCGGAAAAGCCTCTAAAAGCCGCCAACAAAAAAATACCCCCAAAAAAAACGTCATGAAATACGAGGCAAACAGTTTTTGGCCTGAATGAAAATGTTTTTCCCGAACTTTTTCTTCTTTCTTATTTTTTGGTCGCGTGCGCGCATTTTATGAGCCGGTTATTTTGATTAATGTTTTTTTTTTTCTGTTTAGTTGTGAATGCTGCAGCTGCCTGTGGCAAGAAGCGACTGCTGGCTGCACTTGCTGGCGGCACGAGGCAAGGAGGCTAAGCGGATAAATGTGTCAAGCGTTGAAGGCGGCAAAAATACGGCGTAACAATTATGTGCAATTTATAGACTCGCACAAGATTAGCCACTTGCTTGGCAGGGGCCAAGATTTTAAGGCCAAAAGTCACGATAACTGTCCAAATGGCTGTCGGCAGCTTGTGTGTCCGCTCTGTAAGATTACATACTCGTTATGTCAAATTGTGTCACGAAATGTGTAAAGCAAAGATGACTTTTGCGACTGCATAACATATATTCTTGTTCAGTAGCAAAAGCCGAGTCGATTTATCCAGTCGATATAGGCCATCTGCAAGTCTCGTTGTTTTTTTATACCCTAAAGGGTATAATAGTTTTGTGTAAATGTATGTAACAGACAGAAGGAAGCATCTCCGACCATATCAAGTATATACATATATTCAATAGCCGAGTCGATCTAGCCATGTCCGCCCATCTGTCCGTATGTATGAGCGCGTCGATCTCAGAAATTATAAGAGCTGGAGACTCATTCTAGTGGCCGCGAGTTTGTTTCCGATAATCGATATATTGCCCCGTTTCTAAGCAATCGATAAAAATCGATCAAGAGATCCCTTTTTTAAGCAAATTTCGTAGATTTTAAGACCTGGAGTCGCCAAACCTGACATGTTGCTTCTAGAATAGTATATGCAAATCAAGTATCTTTTATTTTATAACTATCGCCACTTTTCTGCCAGCCCCATTATGCAAAATAAAAAAAAATATAAATCAACCACCATTTTAAGCCAGAATTTAATGGCCTTTTTTAAGAATATACGAACATTCTGTAGCATATACAGATTAGCTGCAGAGAACTGCATTAAGATCGGTTAAGAAACAAAGAAGTTTTTGAATAAAATATGAGTTTACATTGTCTGATAAAGGAAGGTTCAGGGTATTCCCTAGTCGGGCACACCCGACTAAAAGACTCTTATTTACAAACTATTCAACTAACTTTTTTAAATAGCCGTGGTATACTTGGTGTATTTTTTTGTCTAAGAGCATACTCAATTTACAAACTAGCTTGGAATTGGATTCGAACTAGCATCCTCGCTGTTCATCTTCATAAATGACTAGACAACTCCTCTAACGATGACTGCAGCAACTTAACGACCCAGAATATTATTGACAATATTATTCCCAACTCTCTAACCCCGCCTACTTTTCCAAGCCATACCAGCACGTGTATCCGGTTTATTTGACTTGTCCTGAAATCCTTGAGGTCAGCCACATAATCGGGTAGCAGCTGTCATATCATATTTTATTACAATTTTCTCGAGCGTATTTAAAGTGAATGTTGCTTGCGGTGTATTATTTTACAGCTGTCATTTTACTTTGGCTGGCATTTTTAATTAGTTAGCTTCCTTTTATTTAACGACTAATGCGAAAATTGTCAACTACTAAATTGTTAATGGCTTTCTGACAAGACCCTCATCCGGAAGACCTTTTTTTTTTTTGGCTCTGCCTTGCTTCACATTGAGTCGAATGATATTGAACCTTTTTCGCTTATTGAAGTGTTTTGGGCACTTTGTGTTATCATTTTTCTTCCTCCTCCTGTTTTGCATGTTTGCGAACAACTTGTAAATAATTTGACATGACAGTTTTAACTTGCTTTTATGGTTTGTTTTCTCATAAGCCAACTTTCCGATTGCATTGCTCCCAAAGGGATTAAAATGCGATACAAAATTGTGAAATAAAAAATCAGTTGAATTAATAGGTTGAATATAAAGTAATTTAACTTTTATAAATCTATTTTTTTCTAAGTAGCGATATTTTATATTTTATTTTTATAATTTTCAATTTACTATTTCTTAGTACAAATATTGAATTCACGCAATATTCCTCACATGACTATAATATAGCATATGTTGTGAAGATATATTATATATATAAAGATTCATAAAGATATATATTAAAAAAGATCGATTAAATAATGTATATAATGTAAATCAGCATCAACATTCGGATTGATGTAGCCATGTCTGTCTATCCCTCAGACGTCCGTCCGTCCGTCTGTCTGTATGTATGAACGCAAGGATCTCAGAACCTATAAGAGCTAGAGACATTGACTTTTAAATTTTAGCTGTACGTCCTCCTAGTCCCCGCGCAAAACGAGTTTGTTTCCGATATTCGACAACTTGCCCCGTTTCCAAGTTATCGATAAAAATCGATATCGAAATCATGTTTTTTTGGGCAATTTCGGTAAATAATATGAGCTAGAGTCACCAAACTTGACATGTAGCTTCTAGAATAGTATATACATATCAAGTATCAAGTATCATTTTATACCTATCGCCTGTTGGAAGAAGAGGGTTCAGGGTACAACCCTATGACATTGTTCTGGGTTTTCCATGACCGCGCCTGAAGCTAAATTGGCGATCGGGAACTAAGCCAGCCTCATCCAAGCCTTTTTTTAAATGGCATTCGGCCAAGACAATACTATATCCATTAACTAGCCTGGAATTGGAATCCTTGTTGTTCAATTAAATGACACGCGTCTACGTGTTTATTCAGTTATAACAAATATCTATCTATCTACCAAAATATAGCTTTATGATATGGTTATCTTTTCTAAAATATAATAATATAAATATGTCAATAATAGGAAATTGCATTTTCACCAAAAACTGTTTTGCAGCAAACAAAAAATAAAATAAAATAAAAAATAGCAGAAAGCAGCATAAGGAACAGCCGCAGCAGGACGAAGGACGAAGCGAGAAGGCGGCTGGTTGGCAGCGATAGCAGAATGTCAAAATGCCATCGGCAGATCAAATCTTGTTCATAAATGTCACCACAACGGTGGCCGCGGCAGCGCTGACAGCTGCTGCAGCCGTCAACAGCACGCCAGAGGCATCCACAGCGGCAGCAAAGGCGGCGTCGGTGCCAGCATCTGGCAACGGACGCAGTGCAGCCACAGTGGAGACAGCAGCGGCAGCGGCATCCACAACAACCGCCGCCCTGGCGGCAAATCTATCGGGCTCGCTGGTGGACAGCCTGACGACGGCAACGGCGACAGCGACAGCTGCAACAATTGTGGAGACAACGCATGAATGCGGCGCCCTGGCGGTGGAGGAGCTGCAGGGCAGCTTTCTGGGCGTGCAGCTGGCGGTGCCGGAATGGGAGGCGCTGCTCACGGCGCTGGTGCTCTCCATCATCATCGTGCTGACCATCATTGGCAACATTCTGGTCATACTGAGCGTCTTCACCTACAAGCCGCTGCGCATTGTCCAGAACTTTTTTATTGTCTCGCTGGCTGTCGCGGATTTGACGGTGGCCCTGCTGGTGCTGCCATTTAATGTGGCCTACTCCATACTGGGTCGCTGGGAGTTCGGCATACATCTGTGCAAGCTGTGGCTCACCTGCGATGTGCTCTGCTGCACCTCGTCCATACTGAATCTGTGCGCCATTGCCCTGGATCGTTATTGGGCAATAACCGATCCGATTAACTATGCCCAGAAGCGGACGGTGGGTCGTGTCCTGCTGCTGATCTCCGGCGTGTGGCTGCTGTCGCTGCTGATTAGCAGCCCGCCGCTAATTGGCTGGAACGATTGGCCGGATGAGTTTACCAGCGCCACGCCCTGTGAGCTGACCTCGCAGCGCGGCTATGTCATCTACTCGTCGCTGGGCTCGTTCTTCATACCGCTGATCATCATGACCATTGTGTACATCGAGATCTTTGTGGCCACGCGACGGCGCCTGCGTGAGCGCGCCAAGGCGAACAAGTTGAATACCATCGCATTGAAGTCCACAGAGCTGGAGGCCATCAATGCCAGCGGAGCGGCGGCGGCAGCCGGTGGCAGCTCGACCAGCTCCAAGGCGCGCGCCCTGGGCAGCCTGTGCAGCAGTTGGCTCTGCTGCGGACGGGATCGCGCCAACTTTGCCACGCCCATGATACACAACGATCAGGAGAGCCTCAGCAGCGAGACACACGCACAGCCGGAGCCGAACAAGGAGCAGCAGCAGCAGCAACAACAGCAACACGTCGTTGTCCTGGTCAAAAAGTCGCGTCGTGCCAAGATCAAGGACTCCATTAAGCACGGCAAGGGGCGCAGTGGTCGCCGCTCCCAGTCATCGTCGTCGGCCTGCGAGCCGCACGGGGAGCAACAGTTGCTGCCACAAGCCAACAGCAACAATGCCGCCGGCAAATCGGATCCAGAGATAAGCACAGAGAGCGGCAGCGATCCCAAAGGTTGCATACAGGTTAGTTATTCAGATCTATATACTACTTATAAAAAGCTATTTGTTCTGATTGTCTGAATGACTGACTGACTGACTGACTGACTGACTGACTGATTGGTGATTCGGAAATTCTACCAGCAAGTGTGCTCATTTTCAGAGATCTTTGCTCAAATCCATTTAAGAGGTGTTTCACACTTTTCGGCAAATCCACCACATTCCTAGGTGGAAATGGGTATTAACTATTTGATCGATTTTCTGGTTGAAACTTATTTGCAAGTATCTTTATGAAAATTCATTAGAGACCTATCTCACAATTATATCTGGATGGATTTAGTTTTATGTAGCAATTTCGTCCGATCGGCTTTTAAATTATTTTGAAAACTAACATACAAATTTAATGAATATGTGTTTAAGCGTGGAAAATAGGGGGAAAATAGTTTTAGAAAACTTAATGTTTGCCATTCGAACGAGCTCAAACTTATTTCAAAAAAAGTTTTAAAGCTCAAATTTGTTTTTAAAGATCTGTGTTCACATCCATTTAAAAGGTGTTTCACACGTTTCGAAAAATTCACCTCCAATTGGTGGAAATGAAGGTGAAGTTTCTGGTTCAAACTCATGAAATTTTGTTTCACATTTGTTTCTAAATCCACATTTCTTGTTATTGTCTTGTCCGATTGACTTCAAATTAATTTTGAAACTCTTACATAAAAATTAAATGCCGGAATTAACTAAGAACACTCTAAATTTCAGAAAATTTATGTTAAAAGAAAGTTCTCATATTTCAGAAATATTTACTGAAATAGCGAAAATTTGTTTTTCTGAAATTTGGGAAAACATTTTTTGAGTGTACTATCTAAAATTTGAAGAAAATTGACTAAGTCGGATGGGTTTATCTCTAACAGATCACATATATATATCTATAATATTATATTAGTTGGCATGACTTATGTCAAGAATGAACTCTAACCCCACCATAAATATTTGAATAAAATTAATTAGGTTTGCGTGACCCAGGCCGAGGAGCAAACCTCGCTAAAGCTGACACCACCACAGTCGTCGTCGACGGGCGCAGCTGCTGTCCCGGCGCTGCAGAAGAAGCCGAGCACCGTTAATCAGTTCATCGAGGAGAAGCAGAAGATCTCGCTGTCGAAGGAGCGACGGGCGGCCCGCACCCTGGGCATCATCATGGGCGTCTTTGTCATCTGCTGGCTGCCCTTCTTTCTGATGTACGTGATTTTGCCATTCTGCCAGAGCTGCTGTCCCACAAACAAGTTCAAGAACTTTATCACCTGGCTGGGTTACATTAACTCCGGCCTGAATCCGGTCATCTATACGATATTCAATTTGGACTATAGACGCGCGTTCAAAAGACTGTTGGGCATCAACTGATACGCTGATCTGGGCAGATCTGAGCAGCGGCAGAGCAAAAGAGAGAGCGTTAGTCAAAGTTTGTGCCAAAAATTAATCTGATTTTCGATGATGTGGAAACACCTGACGAAATACTAGAAGAAAAAAAAAAGAAAATATGGTTTCACTCATTTGTATAAAGATCTCGAGTTTTCATCTAAACTAATATGCAATTTATAAATAAATTGACAATTTTAAGCAATTTCTTAAAGCTACGTGTTGCAATAGTTTTATTAGATTTTAACTATTTAGGTTTGTTAATTATTTATTTACCTGTCGAGCGACTCTCGCTTAAAATTAGTCTCTTACTTTTTGTCGGGTGTTTCCTCGCCGCACTTAGATAAATAAATGTAAAACTGTTGAATATACTCATCAAATAAAAAACATATAGCATACAGAAGTGGGCGTGGCCGACAGCAAGGTCAAATATGCTCAGATAAAAAAATTAAATAAAAAAAATAAAAAATTACAGCAGCAAAAATACAACATTAAAAAATATTAATTAAAAAAAACGTAAAATACGTAAATAAAGTGAATAAAACTAAAAACTAAAATGAAAATCGAATTGAATTTAACTAAATGTTTAGGCACAAGTTTGTTGCAGACCTTCATGTTTCACATTTCAACGCATAAACTAAATATATAGAAAATACATATATAAAATACAAATAAATATAAATAAAGGTTAGTTAAATGCGCGCGCTCAACTTTAAGAAACTTCCAACAGCTGTTTTCTTAGGCATTACTTTAAATACTTGTATTAAATTTTAGGTAAATGAATTAATTACAGTTAATCGAACTTATTGTTAATTGTATGTATACTTTGAGGTACGCTTAAAAGGATTTGTTAATTAAGTTAATTATACGTAAATTATTTTCATGACAGAGCATCAAATGTGTTGAGTGTGCAAAAGCACAGCTATAAGCTTAAATACCAAATAATAATTCACAGAAAGAAAAAAAAACGAAATAAGTAAAATATACAAAACAACAAATTAAACGTTTTATTGCATTGTGCAATAGAGTTATAAAATATACATATATACTTACATATATATGAATCGATGTATAAAATCTAAAGAAAATAACTCAAGCAGTACGCATGCGAAACTTTTTGAATTTTGATGGCGTACGTTAATTTCACTAATTAAATTGTTTAATTAGCAAAAGCAAATGAAAAAAAGACAGATTCGAATAAAAGTTATGACAGATAATAAAAAATACATTCCCTGCGTTTGTAAATTGAAACTCTGTATTTCGACCTTATTTATCGATTTTAGACCTGTCAATAATAAACGGGGCCGAAACTTTTACGAGTTAAACAGCGTCTTGCTATAGTCTATAATTGAATATTATATTTCTTAATTGCTTTTTGTAAGTTCCAATATCAATTAAATGTTGCTAGTGTTCCGTATGTGCTTAATATCAGAAGTTTTAATGCGGCCTAATTCAAGTTAGAGTTAAATCGCATTAGGGTCTAGAAAGGTAATATTCATGTGAATTTATTTTTCAATATTATTTTCTCCGCTGAGATAAATACCTATTTTCAAATATTCATAAACCGTAACGGCTTAAATTTTAGAACAGCTAGTGCTGTAAAACGTCTACCTATATGTACAGCATTCATGCTGGCACTGTGTGACCCTTATGTATGTATATAAAATAAATAACCTGTTGCTTAACATATGACCGGTGCAGCGTTTTACAGAGCAAAAGCGTTTACAGTGATTGCCATTAACATATGTCTTTTAATTTAACAGCAGTAATCATAATGTGCACTAACACTTTCTGTTAATCCTTAGTGAGAGTGCTGACAGAAGATGCCTGCTATGATTCGACTTATAGCGCTTCTCAGTCAGGTGCCACATAACATAGAAATGTTTTTTAACAGCTCTGTTAAATACAGTGCAGTATTTTCTGAAAACAACCTAAATGCTATTTTGGGATTTTTAACATTACATTTTGAGCATTTACCGCTGTTTACCAAAATTTATTAGTCATATCATTTTATATTTAGTTACAGTCATAAGTGAAAATTAACGTTATATTAATATATTAAATCGTGTGCTACATAAGCAAATAACTCAAATAAAATGCAGGTAAGTTAAAAGCCACTACACAACGCCTTTTCCTCATCATTGGTTCATTTTTCATTGCTTATTTCTGTATGTATATATGTAAATATCTTTAAGCATGTGCATTCTTTTATATCCATATTTGGTAAAAACACATCTAAAACGAAACGCACGAGTGCGCCGAGCATTTTCTGAATGGAAACTTAATTAAATAGTATTTGCTATAGGACCCCAACGAAGATACCGAGTGGAACGATGTGCTGCGCGCAAAGGGAATTATCGGACCAAGGCAAAAGGAGGCTGAAATCACAGAGGACCAAATTCAGGCAATGATGAATGACGTCATCCAGCGACGCACAGATCTGCCGCCCCAGGAGGGTCAGCGCGACAAACTTATCGATGACATGTCGCTGGATGAGCTGGACGAACTTGAGGACTCTGAGGATGAGGCAGTGCTGGAACAGTATCGACAACGACGCATCGCGGAGATGCGCGCAATAGCCGAAAAGGCGCGGTTCGGCAGCGTGCGTGAAATATCGGGGCAGGAGTACGTCAATGAGGTGACCAAAGCCGGCGAGGGCATCTGGGTGGTGCTGCATCTGTACGCCAACGGCGTACCCCTCTGCGCCCTCATACACCACCACATGCAACAGCTGGCTGTACGCTTTCCGCAGACGAAGTTCCTGCGCTCCATAGCCACAACGTGCATACCAAATTTTCCTGAAAAGAACCTGCCCACCATTTTCATATACCACGAGGGAGCGATGCGCAAACAGTTCATTGGACCGCTGGAGCTGCGCGGCGATAAACTGACGCTCGATGAGCTGGAGTTTATGTTGGGACAAGTCGGTGCAGTGCCCACCGAAATCAAAGAGGATCCCAGGCCGCAAATCAAGGACAAAATGCTGGCCGATTTGGAAGACAAGAGCGCCGACTTCTACTAAATCTCATCTAAAACATCACGTGTTCGTTATTTAACCATTTCATGTTGCAGTACAACAATCTGGGAATCTATCTTCAGACGGTGTGTGCATATTTGTTAACAAAATAAAAACAATTTTTACTGCCAGGATTCACTTGTTATGCGACTTCAAACTGCTGGTCGAGGACTTGTTCGTGCCCTTTGGTTTGCTGCGGAATATATTCGGATCGAGGATATTGTACGGATGCTCGCAGGCGGGATTGATGATGCGTCCGCGCCGCAACTCGTGCTTCTCCAGCAGGTGTGGAGCTAGCAGCAGAAACAGCTGCTCTGTCCACGAAGGCAAGCCAAAGCTGGAGAAGCACAGCTCCCAGTAGGGCAGGCCCAAATGTGCAATGGCCATGCGCAAATACTCGCTGAACGTCTCGGCCAGAAACTGCCAGCTAAGGGTGCTCAGCTCGAGCAAATAGAACCTGGGATTGTTCGAACTGGTGGAATCGTACAACATGCACACCTGCAAATTAGAGTTCCATATAACTACTAGTGCCTTTTCACAGGACGTCTCACCTTGGCCATCTCATTTATATTGTTGATTTCGAATATCTTGGTCTTGGCTGTAATGATAGGCGTGGCATTGTCCCATTTGTCCTTGGCAGCAACAGTTGGCGCACTGCTAATCGCAGCCGCAGAGCCGGAGCTGCTTACCGAGTGAGTGTTCTCGATATTCTCGCGCAGCAGCGTTACCTGCAGCAGGTGCGGAAAGTGTATATAGCCCACGCGGCGCACATCGTTAGCTGTTGGGATTCGTATGATGGATTTATCGTGATGCCGTATAAACTTTCCAGACTTACGTGCATATTGATAGCTCCAGTTGAGCACAAAGCCATCGGTAGACAAGTAAAACTTTTTCATATCCTCGGGCAGATAGACACAGTGCCGCTGCTCCCAATTGACCACCTGGCAGGGATTCAGCGGCTGGCGACGCTCGAGGTTAACATTGCAGACGCGCGGCACACTTGCTATTGTTTTGGAATTCAATTGATTAGTCAAGCGACCCGGCTAAAGCACACTACTCACAGAGAGTTTTGATGAGCCCCAACGTTAGATTCTCGTAGAACGCATCTTCCGGTGATAGTTTCTTGCTCATGTTTTAATGTAAGTTTTGTCGTTTTGAAAAATTTGGAGAGTTGTTTGACGACGACGAGTTAGGGTAGTAAACAATTTCGTCCTGCCACTGGTTGTTCTGGTAACGGCGGCGATAACAGCTAGAAAAGCCAACTACTTATAGGCATACATGTACTATATCTAATTCTCAGTCAATTAAAGGGATGAACAGGTTTCTTTTGGGCTGTCAATTGGTTGAAATCGACTATTGTTCTGTTTAAGTAGATATTGCACCGAAACATTAGCACTAGTGTACAGATTAAGGTACTTTATAGAATTTGGTTAAAATTTATCAATATCGGACTACTACTATATCAAAAATTTGAAATACCAATGGATTTATATATATTGCTTATATATATATTTAGATACGATTATAATATCGTAGGTATAGTTGTCATACGATCACAAAGTGATAGAATTATATTAGATTTGTGCAATGTCCGCCTGTCCGTCTTGCTTTCCGTCTGCCTACTGGGGGCGTTGAAAATCTCAATAATCTACATATACCTTTCTTCTACTGTAATACTTAAGTCTGCGCTCACACATACATATTGATAAAGCTATTATTGAACTACACGACTCTTCTTCTAAATTGAATTGAATCATGGAATTTGAACAGTATTAAAAGCATAAATGGCTGCTTGCAGGAACATTTCTAATGAAATATTCATAAGATCAATATGACTACTATTTATTTATATATAATACATTCAAAACGAAAGTTATTTACACAAAACACAAATGATGAAAAAATGAGTATGAAATAACACGACATAAGGCATTGGTATTACAGAGCTGAGATCGAGATTATGGCATATGCTGCCGGTCTCATCCTTTAGCTTGACTTGGGGTTTCGCACTCGGCCTCCTCCTCGTGTCAGGATACCTCCCATACGGTGGACTCCACCGAACGACGCGGACGTGCAGCGACCTCCACATGGGCGTCCAGGCCATCGCTTAAGCGACTGAAACGGCGTGCCCAGCTGCCGCGCGCGTTCATTTGGCCACCAGCTATGGAGCTGCGGCTGGTAGCGTCTCGGAACAGGCTCATTATGTCTTGATTGTCTCCCTGCGCTCGCTTGATGCCGTGCTGGTATTTGGCCTCCTTGGCAAGCAACTGCTCGCGCTGCATTTGTGTCTTCACCTCCGACGGTACATCGGGTATGATGAACTGCATGATGCCGGTTAGGACAAAAACCACATGCTATTACGAACGATATAAATCGATGTTCATATATTGGACATTAGGTTTAATTTAGTTAATGCACGCGTTTACCTCAAACACCACGACGAACGCCAAGCGTGCGGCAAATACATGCCAATAATGCGGACTAAGCCCATACGGCTCATAGTCCTTGGGGCCATTGCTATCAGAGGACGACAATCTTAAAATGTGACTCGAAATTGATTGGTTATGGTTTGGCTTACCGATAGCCTCGATATTTGCAGGTGTCGGGATCTTTTTCGCTGCTTGTGGCGCCCCATTCCTCCTTGTAGTCAGATGTATTGAATATGGACAGGGAGTGCTCTATATAGCCAGCCAAAGTGTGGGACTCCGAGTAGACGAACTTATAAACGACGCGCGGAATAAAATCGCTTGTGTAGGCGATCACAAAAGCATTGGACACGACGGCCGTATAGGTAATAATGCGCAATATGCCATACCACGCACCAATATCCTCTACACGCTCCGCCAAGGGGCGCCTGGCCTGTGTGACCATCTTGTAGGCATCCAAACGAATTTCGGCAACATTGTTGAGCAACGCAAAAAGCGGAGCCAGCGGGAATGCGGCCACAAACAATGTGACAAATCCATACTGGAGTACTGAATATATAAGAATATATATGTTAAATTATTTCTGGACAGTCAACAAATTATACTGGACGCTCACTCATTTCTAGGTACTCGTCAAAGAGTGCCAAGCGACCCGGATCCTGCATATGATAGTCCTGTTCCCAAGCCATGTGCAAATGCGACTCGTCTTTTGTGGCCTTAAATCAAGACATTGTTAGGATTCCCTCCATACTCACAAATATCTTCATTTATATCCTATTGCATACCTGTTTGTGCTTTCGCTGGCGCCACCAGTTCCAGAACTTGGGAAACAGATACTCCATAAAGTTATTCCAGCACTGTTTGCCCACCATAATGATAGCCTATAGGATATTAAACATATAATCCGCACTCAAAATCTTTAACTTATTGCCTACCAATTGTATGCATAGCTCGGAGAGGCAACCCGCCGGATCGCATATATCATTTTTGAGGCGAAAGAACTCACTGCGTCGCGCCTGATCATCGCCGGGATAGTCAAAGAAGCGACCCTTGAAGAAGGCTATGTAGATGAGCGACGAGTAAAAGTTCATAAACTCAAAGAAGAATATCTTGAACGTATACGAATCCTCGTATTCGGTATGAGTGCGTGGATTCTCCAGATTTGTTAACTTAATTGCCATACGATGATAGATCTGCAAATGAATTGATTTAATAAGGTTCCCTAATCGCGTCAATTTTACTTACACGTGTTAATATCATGATGACCACCAAATTGATCAAAGCCGCTGTCACTGTGGTGAACAGTTTGGCATGCTCCTTCACAAAGAAGCCGCCACCGCCATAGATGACCGAGACCAATGATATGCGGTAGATGATGGTGCCCAGCACGGCAGAGAGCACAACGGCGATCTGTAGAGGATCAGATCGAATATTACTCGTATACTAAGATTATCCCTGCCAATATTAATTATTACCATGAAGAGCACCGCGCTTCCGGTTATGACAAATCGAATGGCACGACTCCATGTGGACATATAGGGTTCCTTTTCTCGTGTCACTGGATTCATTCGAAATGTGGTCGCATTCGTCTCAAACTCAGGCCGATTCTCCTCATCCATTTCCACATTATGAAGGTCCCATTCCCACACTAACACCGATTGCTTGCGTTTCCAAAGCTCCAGGAAGGTGGTAGCTAAAATTAACGTGATACTTAGGATCTGGAATTTATGTACATATGTGTGTGTGTGTGTGTGTGTGTAATTACCCCAAAAGGACATGAAGATTGCGAAAAATACCGTAGATGGATTGTCAAAGAGGTATGTCAGTCGTGAGAACAGGCATGATTCGGATAGTCTTTGGTAGCTGCAGGCCTTATCACAGAGCGGGCATAGGGTTATGTTGCCGGTGCCGTACTCATTGCAGATCTCCTTGCTGGGCGTATTATCCTCCGACTCCAGTGTGGCCAGTCCATATATAAAGCAAAGAGTGCCCACAACGGCCGGATAGACCAGCATTTCGGTATAGAAGCCCAACCAACTGAAATAGAGTGCGATTTTGTCCCCGAAGTACTTGCGCACCAGGCACAGCGGTTGCTTCTTGTACCACTGCGAAGGATGCGCCCAGGTCTGATACAGTACACGGCGATCCAACGAAATGCCACTCGAATGCGGTCGATCGTAGCGACCCTCGTGCAATGGAAAACAGCCCAGATAGGTGCCATCATTGAGCAGTCGTCGTATGCCACTCCGATCGGTCTCGTCGTAGGGTGTGCGTATTAGCACTTGCATCACCATAAGCGAGCGCTGGGCACTCGTGTACGCCGTGGCACGATCCTTAACAATGAACCTTTATAAAGATGATAACATATTTATAAATCGAACGAGAATAGATTTTTGTACCCTGAACCCATTGAATATCTACGACCCCATAAAGTATATATGTATAGCCATGTCCGTCAGTCTCTCCATCTGTCTGTCTGTCTCGATCATTGGAATATAGACCCTCGTATAGTATACACAGATTCAGAATATTTTACTCGGTGGAAAACTTTCCTCTTTTTCCCACAAAAATGTAGTCAGTATTGGGCTTTAGCTTAAATTTCATAAAAATCAAACCAAAGTGTGGGTCAAAGGTCGGCGCTGGGTTCAGGTTATCTCCTAGTGAAAACTTACTGCTCCTCTGGATTGCCATTAGACGTTGCTGCTTTAAAAGTTGTCTCGCCCTCCAGCAGGCTGTGATCAAGCTGTATCTTTTTGGTTAAGCGTTGCCACACATCTTTCCAGTACTGCACATTCCGCATGACTACGTTCTCCTCATCCTACAGCATTTGTGATATATTTATGGGAATAAACACGCAGTTAAATCAACTATTATCTTACCCAAGATGGCTTAACGGAAATGGTTATGAATCGTTTAATGGGTAGCTTTAGATTCATGACCTCGGCCAGACGAGTTTCCAGACGCCAAGGCAGATGAATCTTGAGGAAAAATGTTTTTTCATTGAACGATTGTGACTTGTCCTCCAGCTCCACTTCGAGGCCCTCTTTAACAAGATTTTCAATAAAACTGCGCCTGATATCGCGCCGTCGTGCTTCCGCTTCCGTCATAACGCCCAGATCCTCCTCTTCCCAGGCCAGCACCATGTCCACCTTGCGTCGCCCGTCGCGAAACATCAGGGACTCCGGATCGAGTCCCTCCCGATCCTGCTTGCTTATGCGGCGCTCCTCACTGCCATCGCCCGCCAAACTGTTGCTCTTGCTGGCCTTGCGACTGCTCCGATAGCTGCCGGTAATGCTGCTCTCCCCGGTAGATGTCTTGCGTTCTGTGGGTAACAATTGCCTGTAGCTAAACTGATCGGTCAGCACATTCGAGTGCGAGGACTCGACTATTTCATAGGGCTGTTGGACAGACTCCTCGGCCTGACTGGACTTGCGTCCGCCCAGTGTTGGGCTCAGGTTTAAGCCCAGCGTACGCCGCATTGCGGTACCAGGTATATCCTCATCATGGCTGCCCACAACACGCGGCCCAAAAGCTTGCGTGGGACTCGGCTCTGCTGAATCTGTCTCCAGATGCGTAGGCAGCGGCATGGCTATGGAGTTAACTTTCTGATAATATGAGCCGTTGCTACCGCGCACCATCGAGGAGTTTAGCCATTTCTCCGTGTACGCTGCCGAGCTGGAGTTCTGCTCCAAAGTGGGTTTGGGCGTAAGGGGATTACCCGCTGGCATTGGACTATGGCTGGCCGCTTGTCGCTCTGCCTCCAGAAAGCTGTAAATATTATCAGTGGCAGTGGTGCTGGCTTCCACTGGTGGCGATTGCAAATCCAATTCAATCAAAGGGCTCTCCTGTTGTTGGAACACTTATATAAGTATTGCCAATTGGCAGGCAAACGGATGACTTACAGCATAACCAACCAAACGGCCGGCCACTATTCCGCTGTCCTGGCTAAGTCTTCTGGGGCGTATCTTGGTCTGCTTGCTGCGTATCATGCGTTCACTTTTGGCCGGACTCGAGACGACTTGTCGCCGGGAAGGGCTTAAAGAAGAGCTGTGATGCGAATTGCGTAGAGTGGGCACTGAAAGGAATCCTTTTGAATGGCAAAAAGTAGAAGGCTTTGCTTAGATTTAAGATTTGATTCACAATTAACTCACTTGGAAATTGAAACACCGACTGCTCAGCTGCTATCTCGCTCTCGCGCGCTGCACTGCCAATCAGATCCTCACGCGAATTGGCCTCCGTTATGGGCGCGGGGCTCTCATCGTCAACACTGTCGATTCGTATTTGAAATATATTCGATGTGCGGCCCGGATTGCCCCTCAGCTCGCCATGACTGCTCATGTTTTCGTAATGTTGTCGTATTTGCGACACGTTGTCGGGACGTCACAGAATTCTATAAAACGTAATTGTACAGTTTACATTAATCGTATAACAAAAACTTTTCCATTTTCTTTTTTGGATGACTTTTAAGTAATTTGACCTACAATGCCAGCGCACGAGGTCCTTTCCATGTGTCCCTATTCCCATTATTAATTATGCATTTCAATTTGTTAGTTCGATCAACGTCGAAAGGCATAAATAACACTCGACCGCAAACAAGCATCCAATATGCATATATATATGACAAATAGAAAGTAATAAATGGGAAATAATTTGTCCGAAATACATTTAAGCGCTTCCCACTATTCGACACTTCGAAGGGTTGCAGGGTTGCCACCTGACAAAAGTATTTCGTTAACTCGACTCACGGTTTGAATCATTGCCATTTGATAGGTTCGTGAACCTTGCCTTCTACATTTATTATTGATTCGTAAAAATGTTTTTATTTCATAATAGAAAACTTCCAAATTCTGGAGTTCTTAGAAGAAGTTGTTGTTTAAGTGACCCAGTTCAAAATCAAGTATCCGCTTTCGAATCCCAGACTAGTACAGGATCTAGATAGATGTGACCTTATTCTATACTTAAAATGATAATAATAATATTTATTGTATGAATATATGACAAAGTCAAAGACAAAGCCTCCTGATATAACTATTTCGTTGATTAAGTTCACGGCTCGAACCATTGTCTTAAGATGAGGTGCGTGAACCTTCGTTTCTGTACCTATAAAGTAAAGTATTGATACTTAAAATTATTTGTAATTTTTATTAAACACTTCAAAATTAGGCATTTCTTAGTCGATTAATTGCTTAAGTTTTTTGGGCACATGCAAATCAAGTATCAGCTTTCGAATTTCAGTCTAGTATATGGATGTAGTGTATCTTTTTGCTTCTCAAAAAACAAGGTTGAAAGTCTGTAACCATATTCTATACTTAAAATTATAACGATATTGTATATATTAATGACATATATATACCACTGCAAATATTTGTTGATTCGGCTTGTGAACCTTGCCTTCTGAATATATATGTAAGGCTAAATATTGATTTAAAAAAAAGTAATTTTTTTTTTTAAATTGTGCAGTCTATAGTAGATGGGTGTCTAAGTGATCCAGTTATTAACTTGAAATAAAGTATCCGCCTTCGAATCCCAGACTATTGTTGACTTATTTAAAAAAGTCAAGTTTATGTTCTTTAACCATATTCTAAACCAATAACAATATATATTGTACACATATATGTATGTAGGTGAGGTTATGAATCTTTAAATTTGTATGTTAAGCAATTGAGCAATTAACTGTTTACCGTATTCCTACTGCGATATTATTTTGTTTTTCTATTTTGGTAATAGCTAACAGATATACATACATATGCACATACATCGTAGTCCCCATGGGCCACTTATATTTGACATTACAATCCCCTGAATAAGCACAAATATGAATGTGTTTGTTTGGTTATGTGTGTTTGAATACGTTTAAAGTGTACGGGGCTACGTACTTTCAAAAGAGACAGCTGTCAGAGCTAATTTAAATTGACAAGAAGTTTAATTTGACAGGTTTTATCAAAAGGCGTTCTGTTATGTCCCATGCCAAATTGTGTCAATGCCAAGTGGAATAGTTAGGTAGGTGAGGCAAACAACGAATCGACATAGAAAACCTGTTCTGTTCAGAAACTGAATTAAAACTATATAAATGAGACAGAAATCTCTCTCAATTGAACCCCCTAATGAACCCAAATAAAACTCAGTAATTCGGTTCGCGTTTCAAATCAACTTCCTGCGTTTCATGAAACACAGCCTTGAAGCAAGATTTCGGTTCGAATCTTATTTTTAATATATATAAAATTGCCCGTTGTACTGAAAATATTGAAAGCTTTAAACGGGCTAAATTTGATTTCTACCCAAAGTTTCCTTCTACCAAATAAGATTAGTTAATGGCAATAATTGAGGCCTAATTCATTTATACTTGTGTTGGAGTCTTCCTCAAATGTTCGTTTAACTTGTTTTTGAACCAAATCATATTTTGTGAAAACAACTGTTTTGGTTCAGACCGAAATATTAAATTGCCATTTACAGCCTTGCACTAAATTCTAGCCCAATTGATTGTTCATAAATTGGTCTAATTTCAATCATATACAAGGCCCATTGACAAAAAGTATGCATGAACTACTTACTATAAGCTTCATTGTACATAGTATAAAAAGGATAGATGTATTCATGTATGCGTGTATCTGGTGGCCATTGAAAGGCCTCGGCTTACGCATATGGGTAGGAGTCCAATTTCGGAGCGTAGTACTCGAGGACAAGGCTATAATGACCTTTTACCCGCATACAGTATGTAGGGAAATATGTGTGATAATGCACATTGGACACAGGTCCGTTCCGTCCAGTTGGGTCGATAAATGTTAAATAAATAAACTTGTTGCTGAATTAAGTGTCGACTAGTTGTTGATTGTCAATAGGTGAATGTCAAATATGTGTAATTTATTTATTTTCAATTAACTGAAGTTCTGGACACTACTTAGAAGAGTCTGGTTGCAAGACCTTAGATTCCAATTGACCAATGCTGGGCGTCACACAATAATTTTTTGATATTTATTTGACCTATTGCCTATTGTCTGACAAGGGACCTGACTTGGTATTCGACCCCATATAGCTTTGCTGAAAGTAGCACGAACCTGAATAGATGGAAACATAGATACATATCGTACCTGGCTGAGCGTCCTACGCTTACGACTTGCTAGATGCGTCAGTAGTTGTGGTTGGCTTGTCAGTTGTGCAGAGTCCCATGCCATTGAGGTAATCACAGCAATTGAAGGTTTATTGATTCGACTTTGTCATTTTTCAAGTTTTATATTGATAATCGATTATTGATTTCAACTTAAAGCTATTCAAATGCCACTTAATTAATCCCAATCGAAATAACCTAAGGCTCACTCAAATACTGTAACACTTGTATATACGTACATCCGATTTCGTGCGATCTCTTGTTAGCTTCTATATTTGATTTACTTTTAATTTAAATAAATTAAAATTTGTAATAATTTCCTATTGATTTAAAAGGCGTGCAATCGTTGTCTCTTGTAAATCGTTAACATTTTCCTGCACTCGCTCGCGTGTCCTGTATTAGTTATTAACACATTGCGTTCTGCATAATGGAACCGTCCGATTTCGACCGATTTGTTAAAGCGCTCGCACACGAATGACCAAGGACCTGCCATAGGCCACTGGACTAAGTAAGCTTGCAACTGTCGCCTGTCCCAACCACCACGGAGAGTATCTACCACAGGTAGATAATCAGGGCAATCTAGTTTCATGTGTTGCTCTCTCACCCACTCCCGAATAGAGCGTAAAACGTGGCTATTTCTGCGGTTGCTGGTTTAATGGTCAATTGACATAGCTGAATTGGAAATGCTAGCACACCAGACTCTAGTATATCCAAAAATTTCAAGTATTATTACGAATGAAACAAATGCTTAATTTGATTAGTTGCCACTGACCAAAGAGAATATTGTACTCACAGACATGTGTAAGGAAGGGCCCCTATAAATGTACCCCGACCTTTGGTTGTTTCTGAAGGGGTTTTCAGTGTTAAATCATGACCTCACTATTAATTGCCCTATCACAATTGTAACGTAACTTTAAAAATAGAATCCCCAATCAAAAAATTTATTATATGCTACTATTATTGTACGGCAATACATCTATTTTCAGCAACTATATGTACTTGCGTCAAACAATCGGCCAAGTGCGTCGTTTACCACCTTCAAGACAAGACAATGCGTGATATGTGATAGTTGTTATTGGGCATGTTTTGTCGTTCCTATTTGAATTTACAGCTCTAAGAATATTAAATTGCTTGTTTCTGGTAAACAAAAGGTTATTGTATCCACAACTGTGTGTCCCGACTGATAAACTGACTGCGTGTCTGACTGGTTGGTGATCAAAGCACAGGAACTGGGAATTTGTATTTTTTACTGTATGCACTACGTTATGCAAGCTCACGTTAAGTTGGTTTTTAATCAAGTAGATGTCCTTAAGAGTGCCTGATTAGGTGATGCCATGAGAATGATAAACACAAGCACCCATGCCGGGCCAAGCTATCGATAATTTACAACAAACCTGATCTGCGCGTGCCATAATATGATCGTATAACATTTTTATCCAGTTATTGATGCTTCGCATAAATATGCATTTAGTTGATTTAATTTCAAAATGCATACGTATTTATGCTCAAAAATTACATGCATACTTTGACACACATATGTTTTAATACACATAAAATCTAAACATAAACCGCTCTCTCACGCGAGTACCTATTTTTATTTTACTACATATTTAATGGGTAAAAGCATAAGACTAGCATTCTTAAAAATAAATCTATAAAAACAAATTAGTTCTCTCTGCGGGGTTAAAACTCGTGCGCATTAACCGACGGAACAACCTCTCCATAATAACATTTGGCATGTGTGCACACAGATAATGGCTGCGTGTCCGTCTAACCCCCATGTTGAATTAATATGTAAAATGTTATTTGAAGCATGTTAAACCGATTGCTGGGTGCATATGATAGAGTCATGTGCATAGGTATGCATGTAAGCATGCATGTATAAAGAGAAACGTATTTTTAAATATTACCCTACTATGCGATTCTCATGAATTCAAGTAGGGCTCTTAGATAGATAGGCGTTGAATAAAACTTTATATATATATAAGACTGTTCGTATGATAATAGTATTTTTTTGGATGTAGGCTTGAATGCACGATTTATGTATGCATGTGCGTACGTATGTATGCATTGCTCTGTCTCTCTCTCTCTTTGTCTCTCTCTCTCTCTCTCTCTTGCGCTTACCTAACCCCGCTTGCTTCTTCTTTTCTTGTTCTTTCAGTGATATATGTAAATTAAGAGATATTAAAGGATATAACAATAACAATAATTATGCGTCTATATGTGAATTTGGGGTAAGTTCATATGTTTTTACAATTTTTATACATAAATTTATATATTTTAAAATTGAGAAAAGAAGTTAAGACAATATTTTTCTTGACATAATTGTGTCTCCACACCTTAAATGAAGCTTTTAACTAATGAATATAAATAATTCGATTAGTTTATAATTGTTTTCAATTTATTTTATTACTTTTCTATTTTATATCTGTATACCTGCAGAATGGTTCAATT